TAAGATGGATTGATCCCGGGATTTTTACAAAACTTATGACTTGACCGAAAGTTTACGTTGTCTAACAACTTAAAGATGAACAATAAATCATCAACTAATAAACTTAATATTCAGTAAAATCAGTAAAACTCTCACACAAAGGTTTATAAAAGATCAAGCAATCGTAATAATGACATAATTTCGTTTTATATACCATACAGGGCGGTTTAATCCTCATTTCACGTATTAAGAATTAAAATGATAGTAAAGGTTTTCATGTCTCCCCCGCATTTCCAAACAACCGTTTCTATGGCAACTGCCATAGAGTAACTGTCATAAATATTTAAAATGTTTTTATTCAAAAATTTCAACAAGTGTCTATATTCTCATTTGTAATTCTTAACCAATTTCACTTAAAAATAAATAGGATATGAAGAAATTCTACGAACTTTTGGATCAACCCTCATATACAGCAAAAAGTCCTAGGCTGTCTTTTTTTATCAATTCAAATTTGATTTTGATCTTTTCATTATACCCCCGCAAACGAAGTTTCATTTATAAAAAATGTAATGAGCAATTACATTTGCACTTAAAATGATTTAGCATTTCTCTCGTCGCTTAGATCCATAAAATATTCATGATTTAGCACTTCTGAAAAACCCAACGGGGGTATTTTGTCCCGTTTGGACAGTTTTAGCTTTGAATTGTGCTAAATTTTGTAAAACAAATAAATCAGAACATTTAAATTGAAGAAATATCAGTGTTTCAGATCCACCACAATCATCAGATCCAGGCTGGAGAACAAATGACTTAACAAATTGGCCCCATCTTATGTATGAAGATTTGGTTGATTATTTGATTAACTCCAAGGCCTATGATGGGAAACAAATGAAGTCATTTAGGGCACTTTTGGGCCGAAACTATGTTAACTGAAAGTGGCTGGGAGATGTGAACAGTATAATTTTACCGTTGGGCAAAATATGTTTTTGAAAGCAAACATCTCGCCTTCCCAGCCAGGAACTGCACGTGAAGATTATTCTGCCTGGATTTTAGTAGTCGGCGAGTAGAACAATTATAGTATAGCAAATGCAAGCTGTACATGTCCAGCAGGTTTGGGTAGGTCATGTAGCCACATTTCAGCTATTGCTTATGCAGTTGTAATGGCATGGAGCCAAGGTTTTGCTGGGAAGTCAGTGACAGAAATGCCAGTGTCTTGGGGTAAAGGGGCCAAGGCATCCACCAATGATCATCAAGTTTCTTTAAAAGAACTTAATTTTCAACGTCCATCTCAGCATAAACCACAAATTTTAATGATGTGATTGAACGTTCAAAACCTCAAAAAGAATTTAGGTTTAGGAAAGTAGATTCCCATGGGGAATTGCTTGAATTTACTAAAAATTCTCCATTGTCTAGTTTATTTAAATGCAGTGGAACCATTGTTAATAAAACCATTAATTCCCAAGTTTGTCAACAAGTTACAGACGGCAATTTTGACACAAATGATGTACAGCATGGAAATCATGACATAGATTTTTCTAAGCCAGTCAATATTGCATATATTGAATGTGATGTATGTAGAAAATTTTACAAGAAATATGTACATTTTTCAGATAATCAGATTACTGAAATTTGTAAACAAACAAAAGAGCAAAATTCTGAGTTATGGTTAGATAGCAGAAAAGTTAGAATTCCGGCATCATGTGTTAACAAAGTGCCCAAAACAAGCAAAGCCAGTGCTGAAGTATTTATTTCTAATTATTTGTATCCAAGATTCAAAGGTAATACTGCAACAATGCATGGTAAAAAATCTTAACCCATTGCTAGGGAATCCTTTGAAAATAAATTTGATGTACATGTCAAAAAATGTGGAACCGTTATCAATAAAACTTAACCTTTCCTTTCTGCCAGTCCAGATGGCATGATAAAACTCTTTTGGAAATCAAGTGTCCATTGTATTAATTCCTGATCTCTTAACAAGTAAAAGCTATTATATTATACAAGAAAAAGATACTTTAACTATCAATAAAACAGGGAGAAACGGATACTATACCCAAATTCAAATGCAGCTTCACTGTACACAGAAATCATTTTGCAAATATTACACATGGTTTTCAGTAAGTGGTGAATCAGTGTGCATTAATGTTCAATATGACAGCAATTTTGTTGAAAATATTTTGCCAAGAATTAGGGCATTTTATTTCAAAAACTTACTAATTAGAATTGTAGATGATTTTGCTCAAGGGAGACTTTCCTTCAGTGAAAGTTATGAAAAGTTATGCAAATTGTAAACAACATGTACCAGTGTCATGAATATGCAAAATAAAAGAGGAAAAAAGTCCTACTTTGTCTTATTTCAGACAAAATTGTCTGGGCTTACAAAACAAGAAATTTTATCAACATTATATTTAACACATGAAAATGTAACAAGTTCAATGAAAACGTTGGAATTACAATGTACATGAACTTTACCTCATTCTTTAATGAGCTGGGGTGAGTGGGGTCTTAAATTGCAAAGAGCACCAACAGCTTTAACTATTTTGTTCATTTTTCTGACAGATTTAATAGAAATAGTGCTATTAAGAATTCTAATTGCACGCTCGACATGAATTCTTACTGAAGCAATTCTGCGAGACTCGATGACCTCTTTCTCAGATAATTGTTTTCTACCTCTTAAAAATGAGGGGATATTCAAATTAACGCGAAGAGCAAACAGCTCTTCATCAATTGTAAATCCCCTATATGCCATCACTTCATCATTTGGTTGCAAGTAATTGTAAAACCCTGACTTTCTTGTGATAAATTTATCACTAGCTCTGCCACCGTAACATTTTGATAGAAACATAATAAAACCACTCGGTGCTATGCATACTAGAAATTTCAGAGTGTTATGTGATTTTTAATTGCTATAGGTGGGAGTTCTTGCTTTTAATGACTATGGTCTTTGAAGGTACACTTCTGTGCAATCTATAATGCAGGTGGTCTTAGGGTATGTTCCTCTAAATGACTTTGGCATAGATCTCTGAATTGTTTCTTTTGGTAACCACAACATAAGATCTTTCAAATGAGAAGACAAAATATTCATCCAGGATTGGAAGATTTTGCTAGCAAGCTGATATGAAATACCAAACCTTTTACCTAAATCTTGAAATTGTAATCCAAGACGTAGCCTTATTAATGTCAATAAAACTTGCTCTTTAATCGGAAGTAAATATGGTAAGTGTTCACCATGTACCTTCATCAATTCAACCAATGCAGAGAAGACAGTGAGCGATAATCCTGTATAAAATACAGAATCTTTTTCTGTGCATATCTCAAATGCTGAAAGCTCACGACAAGTTTGAGTACCTACACTTTTTACTGAGAATGTGAAATTGTAACCATGATCATGCAAAGTGTCAATAGTCCGTGTTTCTACATTTGAACGAGATTTGTAAGTGACACAGGACTCTCCCTGTTGATGGACAATCACAGGTTGTGTCTGAGTAGAGGCTGAGGTACTCGTGGTAGGAACTTCTGCTCCTCTGTCCTCTGCAGCAGATCCTAAACTTTCCTCTTCATCCTGAGGTTCAAATGTATTCTCTTTGTCAGCAGCATGTCTCACAATTTTTCTTCTGCCATGTTTTACCTGTTTAAATAATAAATTTACAACCCTACATATTGAAAAAATTACTTAGTTAAATGTGAAAATGTTTCATTGTTTGTGTAGAATTAATTACATTTTATAAAATACATTATGTTTAAATTAAATTACTTGATCTTTTTCCCTGGGGTGTAATTTTTCCTATTAATGGCCTTGAGTCATCGCATCTTGGCCTCCTCTTGGCTCGGTATGCAAAACATTCGAAATGGAGGCATGCATGGGCAGTCTTCATGTTTTATGCTATGTTCGGTACACACTTCCACCTTCCATATATATAATTTCCTTTGGTTGTTGTTACAACCTATAATCACACAGTGTCTTCCACCGCCTTTCTCATACGGCATGTTTACATTCAAAGTTATCAGCACCGTAATGGCTGCCGCTTTCAGCGCCACCTTTAGGCAAAGGGCACTAACTCTTAAAAATTTACCAGATAGAATGGTGTATAAGCTAAGAATTACCAAACTCTGTCAGTTGTTGCATTTTGGGTTCTCAGAAGGAGTTAAATATAAGTAGGTCATGGTGACCTACTTTTTTAATTTCAATTCATTATTTAAATATTCAAGTAATAAGAGTCTTAAATAATCAAACTTTGTCATTTGAGGCATCTTGGGGTCTTAGAGTTTTTTTTACCAAAGAGTAGATCTCTGTGACCTACTTTTGAAGTGTCTTGACTATATTTTAATATTTCATAAAATAAGGGGTTTTGTCAGTTTTCTTTCCTCTCAGGCTCTCAGTGTGTTTTAACCAAAACCTCACTAAAACTTCTGCTTATACAGTATTCAGGATACTAAAAGGCTTCATTAGATTGTACAGTTTATCAAAAGAGCGATTCAAGGCCATTGGGCCTCTTGTTTATTAAGAATACGTACAATAGATGATTTGTTCACACAGTCTCAGGGATTAGACCTCATTCATCTTTTGAGCTGCCAGTAATATTCAATGTCAAAAAAAGCATTTTCTTAATGAGAAAATCCCAATACTGAAATGTTGCCAACATGGCTCAGTGGTTAGAGTACTGGATCGACATAATATATCAGGAGAAAGGAGTTGATCCTCATGTCATGGTCTTAAATCCCACTGCAAGACTGCTTCTTCAAATAAGACCTTATAATGCAGAATCCTATATGTATAAATTTACAGCCCTCCAGACTGGCAAGTGGTCACTTGTCATATGAGTGAAAAATTCTCAAAGAGACATAAAACACACAAACGCAACTGATATCTCACAACTAGAAGTACTTGTAAAATGCCTTCACAAATAAATTGTGGTTTACTCTATACATTTATTGTCTATTTACTTAGATACACTGTTTTCTGTATTTTCAAGTTAGTTGAAACCCTGACTTAAAGACTCTGTGGTTTTTTTTTTCATTAACAGGGCACAGAATTAGTAAGTTCTAGATTTGAGGGGAAAGTGATAACATGTGAGAATGGTTCTGTTCCTGCAAGCAACAATGAAACATGTGGTGAGTAAAAGTTTTAAGCTGTAGCTGTATAACACCATGCATACCAAAGCCTGCAAATCCCATCGTAAATATTCCTTCCGGTCTACATGGTCTTATTGATCTAAATGAATTAAATGAGAGGGTTACAGGCAGTTCAGCTGCCTAAAAAAAATTCCCCCCAAAATCCTTTCCTCAACCAGTTCTAGCCTAATTGCCCCTGCGAGACGATCATGAATAATTCATGAATTTCCTTGAATTTTTCATGAATTTAATTCATGAAATGTTCATGAAATGTTCATGAAGATCCTATGAACTTATTATTGGACATTTTCAAATCATGAATTTTTATTCATGAAAGAAAATTGATGAATATTCATGAATATTTTTTTTCATGAATAATTCATGAAGAGTCATATTCATGAAGATTCATCATTTCAAGAATGTCCAATAATAAGTTCATAGGATCTTCATGAACTATTCATGAATAATTTGATGAATTTTTTCAGGAATGTTCATGAATGAATAAAATTCATGAACCATTAGCATTCATGAATATTCTTGCTTATTCGTAAACAAAAAATGAAATATTATTATTCATGTTTATTCATGAAAATGCATGAAGTCATGCTAAAAAAAGTAACAGTAGATGATTTATAATACAGCATCTTGAAAGATTTTACAGAAATGTTGTTTGTTTTCCAACCATGGCAACAAAATCTTTGTTAAAAAAATTAAAATAGACAATCTGACACATTAAACCATAGTAAATGAGTAATGTAGTTCATTCCTGGTAAAAGTATAAAAAAAATTCAATTCAAATGCAACTCTTTGCAGAATGTTTAACCTTACTTGGTCAAAAGGAGAGGGGATCCTTCCTCAGCATGTTTCAAATTGTGTTTTAATGCCAGAAATTGAACAGTTTTTAATTCCAGTCTAGGAGAAAAGTTTGTTCAGCACCAGGGAAACAGTTTTCAGTGCTTTCAAGCAGTTCGAGCAGAGATGGTCAATTCAAAAATCCTTATTGTCTCTCCATGTGGAATTTCCAGAACTTCATCATTTGGATCCTTTGATTGAATATTATTCATATTTTCATTTCTTTTTTTTGTTTCTTTTTCAAGAGCTCAGATTTTTGTGCAGCCAGAGTTTCTTCTCTTCTGCTCCTCAACATTTGTGAACTGCTTCTCTTTTTCCTTCAAAAAGAAAGATTATCTGAAAGTAACCATGATTGTAAAACATAAGACTTTTTTGTATTTTCTTGCATTTTAGATTCATTTAATTTTGCATTAGAGACACTTCCAAATTTAAACATTCTGAGTGGAATTTAAGCCTATTTTCTTGGACCGCCATTTTGTAGATCAATCAGGCCTATGAGAGTTTTGAGTCTCAGTCTATAATTAATGTATGTTATATGGTTGGATCCAAACTCAAAGCAAAGTAAGACAAAAATTGCATTAAAAAAAGAGACATATTAATTTATTATAATGTGCTTTAATTAGTTGTTATTTTACAAATAGAAAGTAACATTTACAGACAGATTTCTGACTCATTAATTGTCTCCATGTTTTGTCACTCACCAGTTATGAAGTAGATCGATCCTATATTTAGTCTTCCTTCTTCATATTCTGTTATTTTCTTTAAAAGTTGACAAAGATCAGTGACTGTACTGTTTATTGGACACACCTTGTGAGAGGGTGAAAAACTACAAATTACAAAAGCATAATAAGAATTTGACAAAATATCAAAATCATAAGCAATCATACAAAATTAAATGCGTAACTTTAACATGTGAGCTGAACAGGCCTATGCCTATCGCATGCTGGAAATGCGCGGTTTTACAAAACATTGTAATTACAGAATTTAAACATGATAAAATATATTGCATAATACTGTTAGATACAGATGATCAAGTTAGATATAAATTCAAGTAAAACAATATAAAGCTTACTCCTTAGGGAGGCCAACATCACCAAACTTCACAGCCAAAACGCCAGGCAAACTGCATGGCTACCATAATTAGTATAAACAGAATATTGAACCCGATCGAAATAAAATTATGCAATACGAAAACGGCACAGTAACTATGCAAATAATAGATGACAAATACTGATTCTTCCATACTACAAATTCCCACTTCCAACGTCTCGCGCGTTTTCAAGTTTGCGCCTATTCAAAAGTGTACGGTAGAGCTAAGAAATACCTTAGTTTCGAATTTCCAAGATTTCTGTTTTAAAAAAATTACAAACACTATCTGAATAACTTTTCACTGAAAATACAATATTTTATATCAAAATAAGTTTTATCAATGAAGAATTCGATTTTTTTACGTCATAAATTATACATGTATTGACTTTTAGTTTCGTATAGCAAGCATGGCAGCCCCCTATGACATGATAATAACAATCTCTCGCCCTCAGACAGAATATTCTGAGCTGTGAAGATGCATAGGAGAATTAAAACTACAAAATACGAATGTGGATCATAGATACTCTACAACCATACAGTCTGTGCTCTATCATTTACGCACGAAGCAAGGGTAACTTTTGACATTTTAACTGCACCAAAATTGAAATGTATGTAGCGTTTCGATCCAGGAATAATACGGTACAGTACAGACAAGTGATATAATTTTTAAGTTGTTAATAAATATACATAACGTTTTTTACGAAGCTCACAAAGTTCATTTTCCAGAATGTTTCATTTTCCAACAACTTGTCACAGGCACCTGACGTTACTTATTTTTCTTTTAATAAAAAAAAAATATACCCTTACCTTATAATAAACCAAGGTCCCCAAGGCGCCATCTTGAATTTTTCTAGGTCTGTCACATCAACTTGTATTTTCGTCTGAAACTCCGTCAAATTCTCTGCAACCATATTCTTTCTGTGGCCAGTCTTTCGAGGTCTAAACTTACGGTCAGTGCAACCAGAAGGGCGCATCACACTTGCAAATATTAAAAATCCCTCGTCAAACTCGATCTACTGCTTCAACAATCCGAGAAATCGCCAAAGGGGGGCCGGAAGTTTACATACGATTTGAAATTCTTAGGGAAAGCCCTTTTTTGATTGGTCAATATATTTGTACGATTTATTTTTAAAAATAACCTGCGAAAGTTAGTATACTTATTCCAAAAACAATAATACAACGTAATATACATGTAAGAACATTCATTTTATATCTCTCAAAATAATTTCGATATAGCTTGATCAAAGCGATTATATTTTATAAATGTCGAAGATCGGCCTGATCATGCTAGCTGATCAACATGATCAATGAACATTTTCAAGACAAAATATTGAGTCGGGACTTAAATGCACTAAATATAATTAATAACACTGTCATTATTGATGCCCTGATTGAGCGTTATCCATGGAGAAGATTGACTTATCTAAAATATGTACGCACGTGTGTGAGAAGGGGGGGGGTCCACACTAAAATTATTCCAGGGAGTGTTGAGATCTGCAATTTTATGTATTGCAATAAAGTAGTGGCATGGCGACATTTTTATTTTTTTTTCTTGGTGACAGATTATACATATAACGTTACATGATGCATATGCTAATATTTGATTTCATTACATATCCCCGAGCCTTTAATCAGTGTGCCCCCTTCCCTTTTTCAATTAAGCATATGCCAGGTATATATGTTACATAATGTATATATATATATAACTGGATGGTTTGCAGTCTTTTGTTTTTTGAAAACCATTCAATTAACTCTGGATGATTTGTTGTTGATTTTTTTTTTCAAGCACCCCCCTCTTTTATTCAAGATTGTTTCAAACGCAACGATCGGTATAGATTAATACAGTATATTTTACAGGTATGTTTATAAGAAGTGTTTTATTTTTCCCATTTTGCATTTTTTTTTCATTTCAATAATCAAAATATTTATTAAAATTCAAAGTAATTATAACACGCTGCTTTAGATCCACCACAAAACTGAAAAATACGGAATTCCCATTAGCATATTGATGTAAACTTCCGGCCCCCCTTTGGCGATTTCTCGGATTGTTGAAGCAGTAGATCGAGTTTGACGAGGGATTTTTAATATTTGCAAGTGTGATGCGCCCTTCTGGTTGCACTGTCCGTAACTTTAGACCTCGAAAGACTGGCCACAGAAAGAATATGGTTGCAGAGAATTTATTTGACGGAGTTTCAGACGAAAATACAAGTTGATGTGACAGACCTAGAAAAATTCAAGATGGCGCCTTGGGGACCTTGGTTTATTATAAGGTAAGGGTATATTTTTTTTTTTTATTAAAAGAAAAATAAGTAACGTCAGGTGCCTGTGCAACTTGTTTAAAGTTTGATGTTAGAGAAAATTCGGTCGAACAAAGTTATGTGATGAAAAACGATATTAATTAAAGCACATTATGATGAATATAACTGTTTAATTTAAATTATGAAGAAACACAAGTAATGCATTTGAAAAAAAATGCTGTCAATTGTGATGCAGTGTTTGTGTAATTAAAATCAAATAAAAACACTAAATGTTTAGAGATTTCATGATTTATTTTTTCAGATGGTGAAAGAATTATTATTAAACATATATTATACCAGGGGCTTGTTCAACAATTGCATGTGCATGCAAAAGTTGTATTATGAGAGTATTGAGTGTTTTCTGTAAATCATTTTTTTCAATTATTTTAGTCTTCATGAAAATTCATGAACATTCATAATACCTTGAACTCTACATTTTTTCTGTCTTTAAATATGAAAATAACCAATATTCATATATATTCATCATTTGTTCATGAACTACATTTTATGAATATATTCATGAATAAAGTTCATGAACCATCTTTATGAACCAGTCATGAACACATCATGAATGTTCATGAACGATTCATAAAAGTTCCTGAAATCATGAATTTCACCTCGCAGGGGTGGTATCAATGGGTGAAGTGGTAAAAAAAAAGATTTAAATTTCCATTTGAATTCCCTTCTCCCTCACCCCTTTCCCCCATCCAAATTTAATGCAGGGGTGGTGCTTAAACCATCAAAATTAATTGTACCATTAAAATCTTTCTTACTCCTTAACATTGGAAGTATTTTCATGATTGTAATAAGCTTTGAGCCCCTTACCAAAATTTGATCTCTCAAAGCTATATAACTAATCAAATCTACTCTTGATCTCTCGAACTCTTGATCTCTCAAAACCCTTGATCCCTCGAAGTCAAAATGCAGTCCCGTTATGCATATTCTATTGAAATTTACCCTTGATACCCCGAAGTGGCTATGTGTACACAAGGTTACATTATTAGCACCTTTACCTGGACATTTCAATCGATTCAGATAGAAGACGCCTTACTCAAGAAACGGGATGTTTATTCAAGTAACATGTACTACATGGTGATAATTGATTTATGATTAATCATATTTTGTCTATATGCTATTAAAATAATAACCATTGACTGTCCTACGATAATTTAGAGAAGGATATGGAGATAACGAACAGTATTCAATCTCAAAGTCCATAAAACTATACAAAATAAGAGCAGAGCAAACACGGACCTCCGAAACATCAGAGGTGGGATCAGGTGCAATGCAGGAGTGAGCATCCCCTGCTGACCGGTCACACCTGCCGTGTGCTCCTTGTCATGATCAGGAAATAACTGAAAAATTCGTCATCAATTCAGTGTATAACTAATTGAGTAACAATTGATATGAAAAACGTCAGTCAGCATTTGACTCAATGATAAACTGTATTAGCTGACAAGGTCATTGTTTCGACCATAGAACTTACAAATGATGACTTTAAACAAGACTGTTGATATTCTTGTTTCATCAACTTGCTTGTCAATAATTTACCTCGTTTTCGAAATTGTTCATACGTAGAGCATGCTGTTGCATAACCAATCAACTGAGATATATACACTCCGTATGCAGGTGACACAGTGAAAAGTAGAAATTGATTACAAGACGAGATGTTACTAACTTTTATTATACCCCCGCTTGAAAAGTGGGAGGGTATACTGTAATCGGTATATCCGTCTGTCCATCTGTTACGCTTTGGGGTACACTTCTCTTTTCCGCAACTCCTGTTATACCACTGAGTGAAATTTAATGAAACTTTCACAGAATCTTTATTAGATATTGTCATTGTGCACCTCCTATTTTACTTTTTGATCCGACACATATTTTGGGTTTCCCAGCCACAGCAAAACATGGACTTTGCCATTATAACCATATGGGAGGCGGGGGAATCATTTAGTGAGCTCATTGCTCACAGTACCTCTAGTTTCGAGTCAAAATTGTCAAATATAAATGAAAAGTCAGAAACTTTGCATTACTGCCTCAATATAATCACTTTAATACATATACTTGCACATGCTATGTACAGCGTGAAACTCATTCTCTATCCAGAGTTGTCGTTCCCGCTACGCTCCCACATACATCTCTGTCAACGCTTGTTTTACAAGATTCTTGGAAAAATTGTAAATGATTAAAACTTGTATTAATAGTCGTTTATAATTATATTTCTTATCGGAAAACAATATTTGTTTTAATTTGTTACACTTTAAAAGGATTTTTTAATTAAGATTTTAATTTTTACTCCGCAAAATAGTTCCCTTAAAACTTTGAAAATAAGTCGTTTTGAGGGAATATAGGTTTGAAATAAATGAAAAATTATCATCTTTATCAATAATTACAACAATTAATTACTATTTTAACTTCAAATTTTCACTATTTAAAATTTGTACAAGAATCTTGTACAACGAGCGTTGACAGAGGTGTAGTGAACGTAGCGGAAGACAACTCTGGTTAGAGAATGCGTTAAACTGTTAAATGTCGTTTTCATGTAACGAATGCGTAGTATGACGTTCGTATTACTAAGAAGAAATAAATATTAACTAATTGACAATATACAATTTTTGCTTTACTCAATTTAATAAAATATTCACTTAAAATACGGAAATATATTGTTTTATAAAAAAAGATTCGTTTTAATAAAAGGTCAGCACGGCATGGAAATGAATGAAAATCATTACATCCGGTAAAACTAATTTTAATACCGCTCATCCAACTCAGAAAATTTTGGACTCTTGAAAACTCAAACTCTTGATCTTTTGTTTTTCCTCTGTGCCACAGACTTTTAGTCTTTAATGATTGATATATAGTGAAAATGCAATCTAATTAAAATTAAATGTTAGATTCGCTCGCATATTCGATACACTAACATCTAACAACATCCATTGAGATCTAATTCAGAACAGCTCTAGACTTACTTATTTAATAATAATAATGATAATAATAATAATAATAATAAAACTTTATTTAAAGCCGGTAACCCGGTTAGTGCATGCACTATTCTTCCCCAGGGCCCTCTAGATATCAATTACAAAAATATACAAGATACAATTCATCTATAACAGGAATTAAAGTCAAAAAAATTATGAATAGAGTGTCCATGTACAGATATATGACAATACAGATATATGACGATCACAAATATGCTTAAATAATTGTGCGACAGCTGATGGTGTAATTTTCTACATTACGCTTAAATGCTCGTAGAGATTAAGAGAGTCTAATGTTTTGGGGAAGTTTATTCCATAGATGTACACCTGAGTACTGAAAAGAGGTCTTGAATAAGTTTGTACGAAATTTTGGTAATTTGAGATCGTAATTAGTTTCAGATGGCAGGTTATAAGAAGTTGACGAATGAAATTCAAATAAATTATGAAGATATTCGGGTGCCATTCCGCTGAAAAATTTGTATAATAATATGTATTTGTACAGATCAACTAGCTCATAAATAGTTAACCATCCAAGTTTCTCAAATAGTGGTTTAGAAGAAGAATAAGGACTTGCGTCAAGAATAATCCTTGCTGCCCTTTTTTGTAATTTAAATAGTCTGTCCATGTCCTGCTTGGGGGCATTACCCCAAACAGTCAAACAATAGTTAATAGATGGTAAAATATAAGCATTGTAATATAGTTTCCTGGTTGAAGAGGGAGAAATTTCTTAATCCTACGAAGAGTAAATAACTTATAATTTAAGAAAATACATGAGATAGAGTTATGTTCTTTGAATTACATGTTAATTGATTAAGATAGTTCCACATTTCTTTGGGATTTGAACTCTGTTCAATCGCTGTTTTATAGTATACGTAAGAAGATTTTGATTTGTCTATAAGAAGACTAACTTTGTTTCGGTAAAGTCTATAGTTCTCCTTATCTCCTTCTTTGTGGTAAAAGTCACGTAAATGTCTAGCATTATTTATTTCTTGTGTCATCCATTTAGGACGAATTTCACTCTTTACTCATTTGGTTTTAACCTGCGCATGCTGGTCAAGTAAGCTATTGAATAATTCATAGAATTCAGCTAGTATTTCATTAGGGTCATGCAACTGAAGGAGAATGCAAAAGTCTACATCTTTTAAGTCTTGGAGGAATTTATTTTCATCAAACTTTTTGAAGTCTCTATACTGAATTTCTAAGTGTTCTAAGTGTTTTCCTTTTGTTGCATGCATTTTGTTTTTCTAGTGGCACATATTGGGTATGATCAGAGATGGCTATAAAAGGTATATTTACTTCACACATGTTTTCTGGTTTATTGGTGTAAAAGTGATCTATTAGGCTACTTGAGGTGTTAGTTACTCTGGTTGGTGATGTAATTAATTGTGAAAAACCAAACTCCTCTAAAGCATATGTCCAACTTTGTGGGGGTTCTTTGAATAAGTCTATATTAAAATCACCTGTTAAGATGATTTCTGCATCGTCACAGCAGGAGGCACAACTAATCTCTTTAGCCAGGTCCTCCGCCCAGCAATATACGATGATTTTGCAGGCAATGATTTGATTGGTAGTTAGAATTTGACCTCTGACGTGACCCTCAATGGGATGTTATTAGATGTTCGTGTAGGGAGTATGCGAGCGGATTTAACATCTAATTTTAATTAGATTGGTGAAAATGCTAACTCTTTACTCTTTGAGGCCACAATTTGATGCACTAGCTAGCTGGCCATATCCATAGAAGGTTTGCTTGGCTGCCTCTTACACTGTTTAAGATGAACTGGAGTGCAGTTTAATACTGAACAGTATCAGGAGTCAAAACATTTCATTCATGCTACATTGTATTATAAATGACTGGATTCGTAATAAGTTAATTTTGATCAGAATTTTCAGGTGAAAGCAGATGTAAATTGCAAAAAAGATATTTCCAACATGTAAAATGGCTTTAATAAGTAGGGATTGTCTATATAAATGATAAAAACTATGTGTGATGATATACTTGATCGTTAAATTATAATTTATTATCAATTTTATAAGTTTTAATTCCTCAGAAATCATTAATGCTACTTAAATGTCAATCTCACCAAATCATTTGCAGACTTGCATGATAAAACATTACTATGCGCCCGGATCGATAGATCCAGGACGTATATTGTTTTTGTCCTGTCTGTCTGTCTGTCTGTCTGTCTGTTTGTTTGTTTGTTTGTTTGTTTGTTTGTTTGTTTGTTTGGAACATTAACCTTCACCATAACTTTTGAACCATGAAAGATAGAGACTTCATATTTGGTATGCATACTCCACTTATTTATTAAGCTTTTTTAAATGACACCAAGGTCAATGACCTTGTGACCTTAACTGTGGCCTATATGCTAAAACAGCTTTTTTCTGCCAACTTTAACTTTCACCATAACTTTTGAACCATGAAAGATAGAGTCTTCATATTTGGAATGCATACTCCACTAATCAGGTTCTTTCAAATGACACCAAGGTCAATGATCTTGTGACCTTGACTGTGACCTATATGCTTAAAATAGCTTTTTTGAATCCTCACTATATCTATTGAACCATGAGAGATTGAGATTTCATATTTGGTACACATACTCCACTAATCAACCTCTTTCAAATGACACCAAGATCAATGACTTTGTGACCTTGACTGTGACCTTAATGCTAAAAATAGCTTTTTCCAAACTTTGTTGCCGCCGGGCGCAAAGTGTTTCACAAACACATCTTGTTTCTGAATGTTTTTGTTTATTTGAATGATCAAATTCTATTTTCTATAATTCAATTATTTTCTTAACTTTTTATATCTTCTTTTACAGTATATTATACATATAGATCATTATAATTTTCCATAAACAGCCTCCAAAGGATGGAATATTGCCCAATACGGAGCAGTTACATGTATTTAGTTTTAAAATAAATTATCTGCATTACTTACTGCTGGCCAATTTTGCTCTGATTGACTGTTGTATATATGTTTTTTGGGAAGTTGCCATCGTATCATTTTATCACAATAAATCAATCTTCTAATCAGAATTCAAAATCAATAATAAAAAAACTTGGAAAAATTTCTTTGCCGTCGTCAATAGTGAAAATTTAATGATCAATATTTTTTTGGACGAGATTACCTGGATATACATGTATCAATTATGTTGAGTGTTTTTATTCATAGAGATTATAGGGACTATACTTGCCTGAATATAACAATACCATTTATGAATTTATAAAGAAACAGAAAACTAGCAAAACAATCAAGCCGAGGAGATTTTGAGTTTTTTAATGTCAAGTTTAATGTTTGATGTATTTCAGTGATATGTACTGAAGGAACATACCATAACACTGAAATGGGCAAATGTGAAAACTGTCCAAGGAACTTCTATCAGGATCAGAATCAGCAGATAACTTGTAAACCATGTTCAGGCTCTGTGAAAATATTCACTGTATCAGAGGGTTCAAATTCACAGAGTCAATGTGTGTGTAAGTATCTAATACATTGGAGCTTTTTAAGATCCTCCAACCAAAGACTGAAGAGCTTTTACTATAGAAATTACTGTGTCTTCAAAGAGTTTTACAAACATTTTCATAGTGAGCTGATACTGAACAAACTTGATGTTAACTATTCTCTTAGGACAATGCAGTAAAACTTGGTTGTAGCAAAGTCCTGGGGACCTGTGCATTTAACTGACTATATCAGTTATTTGTTAATTCATATAACAAATTTGTATATCTATATGTAGCCAATTCGCAATATGCGTGTTTTCCTTCAAGTATTACTACCAATTACATGTATGTTAGAAAAGAAAAGAACATAACTTGCATAACAAATTAAGGGGTTTTTTATGAAATGAATTTTATATACAAATACTACATGAAAATAAATTCAGTTTAATTTATCAAATTTTTGAGATCTTCGAAAATTCATTATAGAAGATATAAATTTCATTAATTTAACCTCTACCAGATTCAAAGTCAATTTCACAATATTCGTAAATTCGTTGTATCAGAGTTCGTTATAACCGTAGG